TTTCAATTGGAAAAATTCATACATAAATGCTTATCATATGCATATTACATTGTTTTTGTGCTATTTTTAATCTTTAAGTACTCGTGGATGAATAGTATCAATCAGAAGATCTACCATATAAATATGCTACATCATGTTGTTCGAAGAAGGTTCATGTCCATCTTCTCTTCCTTCTGCCACAATGCCACTGGAAACAGATTATGGTGAAGGGACAAGTGGAGACGAAGTATTTTGTCTGGAAGAAAAGAGAGGAATCATTTCTGCGCAATATACTGTGACCAATTTGAGAGCAGCATTGTTGAGGTCCTGAAGCAGATTTCTTGCCCTGCAAATCCAAGGTGGTACAGCACACTGGGAGCTGGTAACGAATACCTTGTTTCAAAGAAAGGAACAACCTTATTTAAGTTACGGCAAGCACGGACACAAATTTTCACTCCTCCCATTCTACTGAACTGGGATGATAGAATGCTGAAAATCATAGTACGTTACATGTCATCCAGTTTACATGACATTCAGCCTTTTGCTAGCTCAGTCAGGTCCTTCCTATTGGCAGTGTCTGGCATCAAATAAAACAAAAACAGGTTGACGTCTTTTAAGCTCAGGCAAATTACAGTGAAGTCCTTGTGATTCTAGTGGATAAAGTACATGACATAAAAACACCAGCCAATGGAACAGTACCTGGAACGTTCTAACCAGCAGTATGTAAAGAAACATTAACCAATTGAAATCACTAATTCAGCACAGGTGTGGTGACAGCAATATCATTTTGGACATATGCATTCATTTTAGTATAAAATACTTTTCATACACTTGCACTTACATAATACGTAACAGATATTTACAGTACCAATGCTTGATGTTAATAGTCTTTCGCTTTGGAATTCCAAGTATTGCTTGGAATTCTCATATAAGGTTATCAGGCATAGCAGATCTTAGTACATTTTATGCTTTTGTCCAGGAATTGTCCAGATTGGTGCTTTAGTTCGAAAAGTGTGTTTGCTGAGAATTTGACTTGTACTGAATGAACCTGAGTCAAATTTGGAATACATTTTGGCAGCAACAATTCTGAAGCTCGATAGAGTATTCTTACTCAGTCACAGTATTTCTGCACTGTTTGAGAGTTGGTCTCAGTCACTTTCCTACTTTGCCAGCAATAGCAGATCTGTTTCCACAGGACAGTATTATTACTTTCTGCATGTCACCAATGTCAAAGCAGAAAGTAGACTGTATTTCTCATTATTTCAATGGCCAGACTGAAACTAGTGAAGCCAATCAGTCTCCTAAAGAAGACACCCTCCTTCATACACTCAGTTATGCACATACCTGTAAAGCATTTATGTGAAATCAAGAAATAGTGAAAATGTCATAATACTATGGAAGGCATAATGAGCAGCATCAAAGAATTTGAATATGTCTTTGAGATGTACAGCAAATTGAACAGAAAAGAGGAGACTAAAGCAAGTATAAAGGGAAGCATGAAAAAAATGTTCACAGAGCAGACTCCTGCATTTTGGAGTAAAAGCAAAGATGTTGGAGATCTGAAATAAGAACAGAAAATGCTGGAGAAACTTAGCATGTTTGGCATGTCCCAGCACCCTCCGTAGTCACCAGTCTAGTCCTCCATTTTACATAGAAACTCACAACTGGCAGAAGGAGAATTGGATCCCTTCAGTCTGTATGTATTCAAAGCCAGGCCCCTAAAGTAGAATGACAATTTCCCAACGACTTCCTTTCAGTTTTATTCATTGTGTGAAAAGTTGTAACAATTAGTCTTTCACTGCAACATTAACAATGAATGTAACATTGAACTTTTATGGTCAAGTGCTGAATTTAATGACTGTTCTTGAAGTTAGTAAATCTTGATAATGTTATTGTGATTAAATGCATTAATGTGGTTGGCTCACATGTCATTGTTTTTTTTGTTTTAGAAGATTAGGTTTTTGCAGCAAAGGTACCCAGTTCTTTGCATTGTGAGGTACACAATGTAGGCAAACTGCAAACACTGTTCATAAGTACTGATAAGCTCAGATCTTCTTAAAAAACGCAGAATATACGCCAATGTTGCTATCCGGCAGCATAAGCCAGTTGTATAAAACCAGCTACAGAATAGATAGCAAGAAGCTATTCCCATGGGTCGAAAGATGGAGAGCACGCATTTCAGATGACGAGCAAAAGCAGCAAAGGTAACGTGAGGATAAACATCTTCACTGCAGCAGGGGTCAGGAATATGCACTGCCTGAGTGTGTTGAGGCAGGTCCAGTTGCTGCTTTGAAAAAAATTACATCATTATCTGAAGAGGAACAAAATTATAGAGCTATGCATAGGAAAGGGCACAGGAGTGACACTAGGCTAATTGCTCTTACAAAGAGCAGATGCTAACATGAGGGGCTGAACAGCCACTTTCAGCACTCTAACCTTGCAGTAAATCTCTGGTAGTTATTAATAAATCCTGTAAAGAATTTAGAAGAAATGTCTTATCCAGGGAATGTTTAGAATGTCGAGTTTTTTGCCACAGGCAGTACCGTACTTGAGGTGAATATGACTGATGCCTTTATAGGGAAGCTAGTTAAGTGCAAGCAAGAGAAAGGAATGGAAAGGTGCAGATCGCTTGAAATGAAACCGGGTGGGAGGAGACTTGTGTGACATAGAGCAGTTTGGGCATATGGTTATTTGTGTGCTGTAAATTCAGTGTAATCCCATGTACTTGGTGGAATTGCTGATTTCCTTGAAATAATATTTTACGTTAAAACCGCCACCATATTCTTGAAAAGGTGAGAAAGAATGTGCTTTATTTTGCCATTTCAAAGTTAAATTGGTACTTTATTTTTGTTTGATCCAACATTACTTTATAAAATGCATTTGATCAAAGTTGTCACATTTCCAGCAATGTTTCTGTTATTATACTGTCTATCATTTGAAGAGCAAATACAATAATTATTTAAAATTCTTTCCAGCCCACGTAGGTTAAGGCACCTCTGGTGTCTGGTAATTCATCTGAACTCGCAATTCTTTCAAATTGTGACAAATCAGAATTAATTAAGCTGCTATAATTGGATCTCTGAGCACTGATTGTGTTAGTTTGACAGTGTGTTAGTTTCACCTCTTTTTGAGATAAATTAATATTAAAGTAGTCTGATAGGGAACCATTTTTTTCTGGCTGATTTCCTTTTCCTCCTCCTCTGTTTCAGGTATATGGCTTTTTCCATATTTAACAGGAACTAATAGCATGTCCATATAAGCCAGCAGTAAGTCCAGCTGCTGTATCTGGGAATTCATCTGCTCAGCTTTCCTCATAAATTGATCCTTGCAAAACCCTGAGCAACCCTGCATTCTTCAAATGTAATGTTCTCAATGCACAAACCAATAACAAATATTGATATGTGGTAGGTCTTTCACAAAAATTAAGATGAATATAGAAGCACAGGCAGCTAGGAGGAGGAGGCAAAAAGTGAAAAACTAAAAAAGATAGAATCATGGAAAGAGTCGTAGATGGAGAAAACAACAACATGTTTTGCAATTGCATTTATCTTTTTATTGCTGACACCCTTGTGAATGTACATTTATATGGATATACATGTATATGGATATACATGTCAAAGGAATGCAGAAGAGGTTGGATCTTTACTTGGAAAACAATTGTACCTAATCTCACAGATTTACCCCTTCTCTGCCTACCCCCAATAAAGAATAGGTCAAACATTCTTACTGTTGATCAAGATTATGGCTTCATTAGCATACAATGCTTTTCAATCTCACCAGCTGGAGCAGCCTGATGCTAGTGACACCTGAATGAGTGTGACAGAGGTGTGATATGCGAAGCACTGTTCAGTCTGTATAGGTAGCACTGTCACAGATGTTTATTAAATGTGACTATACTGAAGTCAGGGATGTAAATATGCATTCAACATGGCATTCAATTTTGACAAGTAAATTAAGACAGATGTTGCTCTAATATTAGAGATGAACTGTACATTTTTCTCCATTTTCACTTTTTCATGTCTTTTATATTGCATTTCTATTGTTTTCCTTATGCCATTAATCTCTTGCCTAAGTTTTTCCTCTAACATTCATTATCAGACAAATGGGTGGGTACCTTAAATAATACTATTAAGGGTAATACTTGTAGATAAATGGAAGGATAAATAAAGAAGTTGCAAATTTAGTACATCAGTCTTCATCATTTTTGCATTCTTAAGCTTATGCTTCCTTTGTCTTGTAAGCCAGTTGTATGGATGTCCATTCGTCCCATCCTAGTTTGATAGCAACAACAGGATTACAAAGCAATTGAACTGTATTCATTTCTCATTCAATGTCAGCATTCTTTTTCTATTCTTTACTCTTGTTTACATGTAACTGAAAGAATCTTCCATAGTATGTTTTTAGCCTTTCAAAAATGTATAGTTTGGGCAACTTGATCAATCCCAATCATGTTCCTAAAGGCTTGTTATTGTTAATTCTTCAAGGAGATTCAGCTTTGATTCATTCCAACCCGTGCAGAAATTATTGTGCAGATCTGTCAATTACTTTACGCTGACAGGTCAGAAGTTAGGGGCTGTGTAAAAGTAAAAAGCTATTCATCGAAAGAAAGTGAGAGGGACACTAACTGGGACTAGGCATGTTCATGTTCATTTAATTAACAAAAACCATTGTGCAAACATAACGATGTAGGATTACTGTGGGGAACATAGCATGCAGTAAAAATGATACTTGCTTTATGTTCTTTAAGCTCCTTTCTGTGCTTTATGGCCCTTTTTTGCTTGAATCAGCAAACAGTTCCTGCCTGTTTTCCCAGTCTTGTGTGTGGGTTAATGCTGGTGGTTCCACAATTTGCATGTTTTCTGGTGTGTTAATAGCAAGTGCGTTTGAAAAGTGTAAAAGGCCAAACTTACAATAAACCTCTCATTAGTTCTTTTGTTTACTATTTCATTTCTTAAAGAAATTTATTAGATTTCTGAGCTTCTCTGTTCATTATAAATCTTTTGTTTTTGTTTACGCATTAGCTCCACCATAGGTTGGAAGGGCTTAAAGATGAACTCAGAAGGCATAGAGGATACAACTCGCGAGTAACTATTACTGATCAAAGGAGCTTCTACCATTCGCAAACTTTGCTTTGCGCTATGAGTTCTAGCTCCTTGCTATTCTATCTATGTGAAGATTCTTGACTGTCTGTTTCTCCCACCTTAACACTGCCCACTAGTCTGCGCCTTTAACATTTGTCTTAGAATCTTTCAATTATCATTTCCGCATTTAGAGCCTCCTAATTCATATATGGTGTAATTCTTGGTGTTTCGTGTCTGTGTGTGCGTGTGTGTGTGCGCGTGTGTATGTATGTATGTTTCTATTTCTAAAGAATATTGCTAGCTCCAGAACACACAAGCCCTCCTACATGGATTAATTTATTGCAACATGCCACGTTCATTTCTGATAGGCTTTTCTTCCTTCATGCAGATTTCATGGCTATTTATGCTTAGCAGATCTGATGCAACTTTTCTTTGAGCTATGATGCTTTGTCCAATAACTTGTGCCTCCATTCTGATGGGTTTCCGGATTTCATGCATTTGCATTTTAATATTCTAGGGTGAAGAATCATAAGCTTCCCCATTGTAGTATCTTCACACAAATGTCATTTCATTGTGGTGATCCAGCTTTGTTCATCATGATCTATGCTGTATAACTCACTGCATGTCTGTATGTTTGAGCCTTCTATAGATAATATAGTCTTTAAAAATAATGTCTATTCTCCCTGCAGGTCCAGTCACGATGCAGCAGCAAGGAAAATATCCTGAGAGCCAGTGAGTACTTAATCCAGTTTTTGATCCCTGCACAATATTTAAAAAGTATTTAAAAGTGTTCAGTCTTAAGGCAGCTGTTCCTTGATATTGGATATCAATCTAAATAAAAGTATTTTGGTTTTTGAGAATTGATGGAAAAAAATAGAGAATTTGTCAAGAAACTTTAATTCCCATATTTTTGTTTAATTCAATCAAGGTGCTTAGATATAATCCTTTCCTGCAGAAGACAAGCCCAGCATATTTTCATTTTACTATAGCTATGTCTTGAGTGTATTTAGCACATGCAGGCAGCGTGATTAAAAGAGGGAGCACCACATCTATCTATTTTCTATTGTAGGAAAGACAGCTGTAGTGATTGGAACAAGATCAGCCAGCTTGACCTTGTAGAATATGAGTTCATTGATTGGGACTGTTAATCAAGGAGCCCTAGCTGACAAATAAAAAGAGGAGTGTCAGAGATTCTGGCAAGGGTGTCAACTTCTGTCAGAATTCCCTGCAACTCATATGCTCCAGTTCCTGCATTTTCCAGTGATAAAGCCAGTGGTACTGCCTGTTTGAAGTCCAGTTGGTCTTCAGCTAGTAGGTGCTTTTGCACGGTTACATCATTAATCCTACTCTTGTCTCAGAGATTCTGACACTCTGGGTGCTGACTCTGACGAGGCTGTGCCAGAGTCAGGGACTTTCCATGTATAAATAAAGGGTGACTTGTTGATGGCATACCGACCATTGGCAGATGTACCACCAATGGAAGAGTCTGTTTTTAAATTTTCTGGACACACTTCCAGTCATAGCTGACAATATCAGACTTTGAATGCAGAAAGATCTGGTCCTGTCAAAATTGAAACAGCTGTGGTGATGGGGGAAACCAAAGGGCTGCCACAAACAGAATTGAAACCTTTCTGAACCCAGATCACAGTAGAGGATGGTGTGTCGTTATGGAGAGCAAGAGTGATTGTCCTGAGCGAAGGTCGCCGCCAGATACCAGCTGAACTTCTCTAGGGTCATCCAAGGGTCTCCAAAATGAAAATACTGGTGAGAAGTTATGCCTGTTGGCCAGGATTGGAGGCAGACATAGCTGCCTTGGTGAGGTAGTGCCCAGAGTGCCAATAAGGAAAAAAAATACTGCCAGCAGCTCCCCCACATCCATGGGAATGGCAAGGTAAACCTTGGACTCAGTTACACTTTGACTGTGCACATTCTTTAATGGGCTCAATGTTCTTAGTCATTGTGGATGCCCACTCCAAGTGTTTGGACATGCATAGAGTTCATTCATCAAATACAGAGACGACGATAAAAAATCTTCTTCAATACACAGACTCCCAGAAGTGTTGGTCACAGATAACAGGCCATTGTTTACCAGCAGGGATTTTGGGTATTTCCTGAAGTCAAATGGGATTCAACATGTAAGGACAGCTCCTCACCACCCATCAGCCAATGGCCTGGCTGAAAGAGCAATCCAAATTTTGAAGGCAGGCTTGAAGAAACAGCCTATAGCCTCGCTGTCATAGTTCTTATTTGATTACAGACCACTCCTCATGCAACTGCAGGTACAGCTCCAGCAGCATTGCTAATGTGTAGAAGACTTCACACCAGGCTAAATCTGATCTTCATGGACCTGGGACGGAGGCTGAAATGGCAACGGGAATGCCAGACCCAGACAAGACTGTAACAAGGTCGGCAAGCTGGACTTAATAGAATGAGTTTCCTGATTGGAGCTGTTAATCTAGTCCAATCAGGGAGCCCTGGCTGCAAGATAAAAGCAGGAGTGTCAGAGATTCTGACACTCTGGGTACTGGCTCTGATGAGGCTGTACCAGCATCAAGGACTTTCCACACGTAAATAAAGGGTAACTTAGTGACAGGACACCAGCCTGAATGGAGTTATTTCACAGTATGTGAATATTACAAGTCCATATGAGAATTTATCTACATTTTCAGACTTTTTTAATTGTGCTGCTGCTGAAGGACATTATTTGGCTCTCTATGCTCTCTTTATATGGAACACATATATACAACAGTAATAATAGTTAACAACAGTCAAACAGCATGGTTACAATAGCACAAATAGATTAGAGATGTTGGAACTATTCTCCATGGAGAGAAGGCAAAGAGATCTGATGGACAATGAGGTGGCTGAATGGAGTAGGTAGGGAGAAAATTTTCCACTCATAGAAGAATCAGAACGAGAGGGCACAGACTTAACGTGATCTGCGAAAGAAGCAAAGGCGAGGTGAAAAACTTTTTCACACAACGTGTGGTTCGTGACTGGAGGCAGGTTCAATTGAAGCATTCAAGAGGGCACTGGATGACTATTTAAATAGAAATAATGTGTAAGGGTTTGGGGAAAAGGCAGGCGGTTGGCATTAAGTAATGACGCTCAATTATGTAAGAGGGGCTGAATAGCCTCATTCTGCATCATAACACATTTCTGTGATTCTATGAAATAAAGCAACTTGTATAGAAATAGAATCCTGTCTTCATTTGCATTTTGATAACGGCACCAGCAGAAATTTTTTCGCAGTGATTAACTTATTTTTAACTCATATGTGATTTCCAGAGGGTATACAAGAAAGAACTATCCCATTGGTGGAAGGATCAAACCATAGGACACTGAGCAAAATTAGTGTCGATGGCTCTGGAGAGAGATTTTTTTTCTTTTTGCACGGATGGAATTCTGAAATTTTTCCTTTTCAACTTGTTTATTGAAGCTGTTTAAATAACGACAGAGATCAGGGATTGGCATTTCTTTTCTCAGACCCAGAGATTTGAAAGCTGACTGATAGAGGATTTGAAGAGGAGGCTTTTCTCAGTTGGTGGGAGTTTCAGCTAAGTGCTTGATTCTTTAAGTGTTTAATTTTTTTTCTCGTTTGCGTGCTTAAGATTAAAATCTGTGAGTAAGGAAGAGTTTTTTTTCATATCTAAGGTTCTTTTAAGAGCTTTTTTTTTAGGTTTAACACTGCTGAGGGTATACAGGAGACACAGAGTGTGATGATTAGTAGATTCAGAGAGGAGGTTACGCAACAGGACCTGTCAGTTAAATAGGTTACTGTCAGGAATTGTAATAAGGTTCAGGGTGGCAGGGTGGTTCCTTGGTAAGCACTGCTCCTTCACAGTGCCAGGGGACCCGGGTGGTTCGATTCCAGCCTTGGGCAACTGTCTGTGTGGAGTTTGCACGTTCTTCCGGTGTCTGCATGGGTTTCCTCCCACGGTTCAAAGATGTGCAGGTTAGGTGGATTGGTCATGCTAAATTGCCGATAGTGTCTAGAATTGTGTAGGCTAGATGGATTAGCCATGGGAAATGCAGGGTTACAGGGACAGGGTAGAGGGGTGGGTCTGGGTGGGATGCACCTCAGAGGGTCTGTGTGGACTCGATGGACGGATGGCCTGCTTCCACACTGTCGGGATTCTGTGATTCTTTTCTAAGCCTCGAGCTGCTGTTCCTCTCTCAAACAGAATTCCCGTTTTGGGTATGTTGAAGGGGATAGTCTCTCAGAGGAAAATAGAGGTGGCAGTCAGATCTTGGGCGCTAAGAATATCGTGTGTTAAGTGGGGTTTGTCAAGATTTAAACAAATAATTGTTTTGGGGACTCTCCTGTCTAGGGCACAGACAGGATTCTGCGCTATGACTGTGAATCCAGGATAGTGTGTTGCCTCTCTGGTGCCAGGGTCAAGGACGTCTCAAAATAGTTGAAGCGTATTGTTAAAGGAGAGAGTAAGAAGCTGGAAGTTGTTATCCACATTGATAAGAACGATGTAATTAGAGAAAAGGTTAAGGCTTTGCAGAGTGAATACAAGAGATTAGGTAAAAGGTTAAAAAGCAGAATTTTAAAGATAGCAATGTCTGGTTTACTGCCGGTGCCATGTTCTAGTCAGAGTAGGAATAAAAAGATAGGGCAGATAAATCAATGGCTGAAGAGATGGTGCAATGTTCAAAGATTTAGATTTTTGGATCATCGGGGTTGGGATCTCTTCTGGGGCAGAAAAGACCTGTTCAAAAGGAATGGACTTCACCTGAACTGGAAAGCGACCAATATGCTGGTGGGGAGATTTGCTGGCTCTATTTCGGGAGCCTTTAAAATAATAAGGGCAGGCGGGGGCGGGAGGCAGTGAAGATAGAAAGGCAGACGAGGATGGTTCTCAATCAAAAAAGAGTCAGTTAATTAGAGAAGACAGAGAAAAGCAAGTCAGAGAACAGGGTAACTCTGAAGAACTAAACTGCATTAATTTCAATACAAGGTGTCTTACGACTCAGGGCATATATTGGAACATGGGACTAGGATATCATAGCTATTACGAAACCTGGCTGAGTGAAGGACAGAGATAGTAGGAACTGCAGATGCTGGAAAATCTGAGACAACAAGGTGCAGAGCTGGATGAACACAGCAGGCCAAGCAGCATTATAGGAGCAGTAAGGCTGATGTTTCGGGCCTAGACCCTTCATCAGAAATGGGGGAGGGGAAGGGGGTTCTGAAATAAATAGGGAGAGAGGGGGAGGCGGATAGAAGATGGATAGAGGAGAAGATGGGTGGGGAGGAAACAGACAGGTCAAAGAGGCGGGGATGGAGCCAGTAAAGGTGAGTGTATGTGGGGAGGTAGGGAGGAGATAGGTCAGTCCAGGGAGGACGGACAGGTCAAGGGGGCGGGATGAGGTTAGTAAGTCGGAAATGGGGTTGCAGCTTGAGGTGGGAGGAGGGGATAGGTGGGAGGAAGAACAGGTTAGGGAGGCGGGGACGAGCTGGGCTGGTTTTGGGATGCGGTAGGGGGAGGGGAGTGTGGAGTGGACAAGGGAGTCATGGAGAGAGTGGTCCCTCCGGAAAGCAGTTAAAGGTGGAATGTTTCAATGTTTCAGATTTTAGATGTTATAGGTTGTTCTCACTGGAATGATAGAGGTTGAGGGGCAACCTGATAGAGGTCTACAAGATTATGAAGGGCATGGACAGAGTGGACAGTCAGAGCTTTATCCAAGGGTGGAAGAGTCAGTTACCAGGGGCCATAGGTTTAAGGTGCGAGGGGCAAGGTTTAAAGGTGATGAGGCAAGTTTTTTACACAGAGGG